GAACGTATGAGTTCTCTGTGGCCCTTCTGGACTCTTCTTGCCTTCAGTGATAAGGGAAGAATGAGGTATACACTCGGGGTTCAGATTTGTATGGAGATGAAATTTATTAGAATGGGAGGCAAAAAACAAAAAATGGAGGGGATCAGTGCGGGAAAGAACCATACATGTTGACGTCCCCTGAACACTTACAGAACTATCCCCTGTTCTTCCTCATCTATAGTCATGAAACTGGTGGGTTTGTTTAATTAGTTATTTCTGATCTCTTTACACTCTCAGAGAATGTAAGGGGTCAGCAGATTTCCGCTGAAGCCACCTCAGAGCTGGGGTGTGCAAATGTGTGGTGACCACATTTGTCTTCTTGTGGCTATTGAGATAAGGTTTTGTTACTAAAGACTTACTCATTCTTCTTGCAGACTAGGGCTTCTCCCCTGTGTGTGTCCTCTGGTGTCTGAGGAGGCTTGACTTCCGGCTAAAGCGCCGCCCACACCCCCTGCAGACGTAGGGCTTCCCCTCTGTGTGTGTCCTTTGGTGTGTAATAACATCTGACTTACCACTGAAACCTTGCCCACACTCTCCATACTTGACTTTTGCAATTCTTGAGATTTCTACCCCCACAAATAATTTGCCTGTGTTCCCTGGATTCACTTTCTGGCCTGTTCTGAACTCTTCTTCCATCATTCTTTCTCCCACTCTAGAGCTCCCCATTTGTCCTTTGGATGGGCTAGTAAAAGCCCTTAGAATCTCCCTCTGCCATGTCCTTTTATTCAAGAGTTTGGACCTTTCTTTGATCTCTTGACCTTTGGTTTTGTCATTACAGCTGGATGGATCAGAATATTGCTGCTCCTGATTCTGATCCCCTGGGCAGGGATTCTCTGACTGGAGGAGTTTTCTTGCAGATGGTCCTGGGAAGTTCTGAGAGGAGTGATTGCGTTCCACATGTTGACAGAGATTTCTGACTTGAAAAGGCCAGACAGCATGAGGGACATGGATGGATCTCTGGCTTTGGTTCTGAAAGAGGAAGTTTTTGGTCCGGGTAGACGTCTTGTTCAGGCCTTACCACATACAAAGGTATGAAGATCAAATGAAAGCCAGTCATTCTTCATATGTTAACAATGCAAACTCTCTCCTAGCAAGTGCTGGATGGACCTTTACAGTCCATTTTTCCATTCTACTTTTATTCACTACATCTTAAAAAATTCAGAAATCCCACATCTTGGGCCTTTTCGACACATCAGCCAGACGAGGTAAAACCTCAAGCAGCACCAGGGGCAGCATCATTCCTTACATAGATGGAACTGCAGTGACCTTCCCCCACAAGTCCTATAGTCTTCCCTGATCACCCTCTGCTACATCCTCCCTCCCTGGTCCCTGGGCACTTTTGCTGACACGAGGTCTTCAGTTATTTTATTCTATCGAGAAATAACACTCTTGGTGACTTAGGTGAGATTGTCCTTAGTGACTTCCTAAGAGGGGAAAAGGATCTATTAGGAACACTCAGCCTGGAGATCCACAAATGTGGTGAAAGAGAAGATGTGTGAGCAAATCTGAATTTGAGTCTCCTCATTCAAAAGGACATATTTAATTGAGGACTGTTATGTGCCTGCTTGTCCATCACGAGGTGGGATTCAGGTTGGCCAACACAGAGTGGTCCAGGTCCCACTGACTAAAGGACTCGGTCCTGCTGCCCCAACTAGGTGCATGAACTGCTTCTATTTCAGATTCCACAAATCATAAAATGAGAATATGCTCTTTCTCAGGCTGCACATCAAGTATTCATGTTTGAGTTATTTCTTTCAGTCTCAGCCCATTTCAAAAACAATAGGAAGTCTTGTTTCAAAATATATCCCTGCTCAGGCTTACCTCCGTGCTCCCCACCTTCATCCTGTCCACCATTCTCTCTCACCTGGAAACTGGAGCAGCTCTGAGGGGATGACCCACCGCAGCCTGTTTTCCAAGAATGAACCAAAGCTGAACTATTTCTGGCCTCAGGACCATTGCACTAGCTGCGCCCTGTGCCTGGAACTCTTGGCCCACAGGCACTTGCACTTCTCAAATGCTGTCTCCTAAGAGAAACTTTCCCTGACAATCCCCTGCAACACTCTACTCTCACCTCACACTGACCCCCCAGGTCTCACACTGACCCCAGGTCTCACATTGACTCCAGGTCTCATGCTGATCCCCAGTGACTCTTTCTGGATTCATTTTCTTCAAAGCACTAATCACTGTCTCATGTTACACATATGTCTGTATGTCATCATATGGTTCCCTAATTCACATGTCATCTGTTCAAGAGCAGTTTTTCCGATTGTCTTGGTCAATCTGTATTTACACTTCCTGCAACATCATCTGGCACAGAGTAGGAATTCACATGACAGCTAATTGAGATAATGAATCAATGAATAACAGCACATGTATATCATTAATAAACATCACAGAAATGCCAGAAGAAACTACCTTGTTGGGAGAGCTGGTAGGTGTTTGAGAACTTGATTTTTGTCTTTAAGTCTTTCAGTACTATATGCTGTTAAATACTTTGTGCATGAAGTACTTAGAATATAAAATCAGAACAAAGA